TTTGTTCCAGGAACCTCTTTCAGCCTTACTAGATCGTTCTTCCGTTCCCCCAGGGTCTCCCATTGTCGTTCCACGTTACCACCGGACCTCGCAGACAGTTCCAAGCAGCGTGTTTGGTCACTCAACCGGTTCACTCGAGTTCACCAAGGGAGAGATTTGTTCTCATTTTTTATATTGTGCAGGATCTTGCACGCACAAGGAGTATGCATCAGAAGTGAAAATCATCAGTCGACTGAGGCATAAGAATTTGGTTCAGCTAATTGGTTGGTGCCATGAGAAAAGAGAACTTCTACTTGTTTATGAATTCATGCCCAATGGTAGCTTAGATACTCATCTTTTCGAAGAAAAAAGCTTGTTGGCATCTGCACTATTCTATCTACACGAGGAGTGGGAACAATGTGTGGTGCATAGAGATATAAAATCAAGCAATGTTATGTTAGATTCGAATTTCAATGCAAAATTCAGGGATTTTGGATTAGCTAGGATGATTGATCTTGAAAAAGGATCTCAGACGACTGTTCTGGCAGGGACTATGGGCTACATGGATCCTGAATGTATCATTACAGGCCAGTCTAGTAAGAAGTTAGATGCATACAATTTTAGAATTGTATCATTGGAATTAGCATGTGGAAGAAAACCCATAGATCACAATGCAACAGAAGGTCAGATAAAAATGGTTGAGTGGGTTTGGAACCTTTATAGAATGGGTAAGCTCCTTGAAGCAGTTGACTCGAAACTATCTACAGATTTTGATGAGCAAGAAATAGAACAATTGATGATTGTGGGACTTTGGTGTGCTCACCCAGATCCCAATATCCTGCCTTCAATCATGCAAGCGATTCATGTCCTGAATTTTGAAGCTCCAGTGCCAACGTATTTGTCTCCATCAGATTATACACCCACTTCTTCACAACTATTATCCTATGGCACTACTGTATCTGAGAGAAGCTGGAACCAATCTTCGAGTTATAGTTACAACACTGATTCCTCAAAGTTCACCACATCTTTTGCAACTTGTTCGTCATCTGCATCACTTTTGCTCACACAATAGTCTTAATTTTCCAGGTATTTGAGATATTTAATATTCCATCTTCATCGTATCAAACATTAAATCAACTCTCAATTTTTCAATGTTGTCAATGTTAGTGTAATTCTTATGTTTGTAATGTAATGAATTTTAATGTTAGATGATTTATTATTTGTAATGCGTCAAACAATATGAAAAATTCCACTGCTATGCATATTTTTCGTCCATGACTCCAGTACTATACTGTTCTTGTAAGATGTGGCGCAAACAAGTTGTAAAAAATAGCACATTATCTCAACATTTCCATATATGATTAGAATGTGTGAATCAAGAAGACCCAAAAAGAGAATATAGAATCAAGCATGGCCAGGTGGTAGAAGATGTACAAATTTATAGCTCGCAGTTGGGTGATTGCCAATTTGGACATGTCTGTAGAGATTGGTGCAAGGGTGCCCTTGGCCCGGAAAGGTATACAATTGATGTTGGTATTAGGTTGGACACTGATCCTCGTGCTTCTCTACCATTTTTGTCAGTCACAAGGGTTAAGTCCTGGTATATTTTTCAGATACGTTGTATGAAAGGAGTCAAAATCTTACCACGAAAATGATTCACATGCTCCATGCATTGGTTTTCACCTTCGTTCTCTTAGAGAGAAGAGTCTCCACCATGGGGAGCATGAGCAGGGGCTAAAGAATGAGGTATCTCATAGTAGGTCTCCCCATGTGGGGCGCCCAAGGGAGCTCCCAAAGGTGGGGCGTCTGGATAGGGAGCGCCTAGGTGAAGAGCTCCTTGATGACCAGGGAGTGGAACTCTCCTAGCTTGAGGTCTAGGTTGCGCCCCTCTTTGTTGCCCGAGAATTAATTGCAGAATTTGCTAATTCTAGGCCACGAGCTGTTGCATGGTCTCCAGCATCTGCTACGCATTTAGGGTGGGATTGGCAGGCGGAGGAGCAATGTCCTCCTCTCATGGTGGATTGTTTTCAAGGGGATTCATTGATCTGACGGTGACGGCGACAAATTTAACACATAAAGTGTTATGTGAGAATTTTGTCGTTTTTCACAGACAGCGCCAAACTGATGATGCACAAATTGGTTTGCACACCACTAATCAGGTAAATATAATAAAATACAATACAATAAGTAGATGGAGAGAGGAAACAAGGTTTATAGTGGTTCGGTCAACAAGACCTATGTTCACTTTCAATGGCTAAGTTCGCCGGAAAGTTTATTAGCTCCGGTGTGTTTGAAGAACAGAGAATTACAAGAGAGAAGAAATGAACTTGATTTTTTTGAGATGCCCCCTAGGTGTTGGGGGAACTTACAATTTATAGAAGCCTGCGTAGTAATTGAGTAGCTTGACGGTTATAATGGACTGGAGGCAACTTAATAGTTGATGACCTCTCCTCTTTTTGGCGACTTCTCCTCTCCCTGAAGACTTCTCCTCTTCCTCAACGGGCAAGGGTATAGCTTCTGGATGCTCCCGTAGCTCCCTGATGGGCTTGACCGTCTTAGACCTCATAGGACTTGCTTGGTCTTTTATAAGCTTGGACTTTTTCCTATGGATTGGGTCATTTGGGCTTCACCCATCAGATATGTCATCCACTGTAATTGACAACCTCCATCTAGCCGTTTTTAATGTGCCTTTAACTATTATCTACATTCCTTTAATTGGTTAATCGAATCTAATTTTTCTCTCGTTTCTGTAATGGTGATGCTGACGTCAGTTAACCTGGTTGAGCTTGCTTGAATCTTCATTGATTGCGCCTTCTCTAATGCCCCTATGCGCCACTCCTCCTTTCTTTCTTTCCTTTCTCAAGTGGCGTAGCTATAAGATTACTTCATTGAAACCTCGATATTATGAATTTGAATTATCGAAAAGGCTCTCGAGGGTAAGACTATTGCATTTAACAGTATCAATAATGATTGATACTCCAGTTTTATGCAACCTTTCCTTTAGGTTTTATATCATTGTGAAAGGCTTTTCCATGTCCTCCTTCTCTTGGTTATGATTTTATTATGATTTTATTAGTTTTACCACAAAACAGAATGTGAAATTCAACAAAGTCAATGTAGGACACAGGACAGGAACTTAAGTTGGCTGGGTTGGATTACACATCCCAGAGCATAATCCATAAACTTCATCAAGGTTAACATCAACTTGACCCGGTTGCCCAAAATCTAATGCAACATCAACAGAATATAGAAATGGATCACATGAAACCTGATAAGAATGAATCCGGCTACCGGTATCGGAAAAATTTACCGTTCCTCCTTTTTTTTCATCTTATGAAAACGTGTGAATTTTTCTTAGTTTATAATTTCATTTACGTTCTAATGTTAATGATCAACGATTACAAATAAATAATTACAAAATATACTGCTCCTTCGATATGATTTTAAAAAATTATTTTTCAATATCATAGTCTTCTCTTTTTTAAAGACAGAACTAAGAACAAATATATAATTGTTGTAGAAGATGAAAAACCAACACAGTCAAAGTCATTTATAAACTCCAGAGGTGGTTTGCTGTGGTTGAAATCAGAACTCATAAACAATCAAGTCACCTACTTATCACTTAAAGTTGAAAATATTAGTCAGTAAGGATTTTATCAATTCCTCTTAATGGAAAAGGATACCATTAATGCATTTTACACTATTTATTTTTCAATACCTACCATCCACCACCATTGTGTTGCCATCGACACCACCACCACCGCCACCACCGCCGCCGCCGCCGCCACCACCACCACCACCACCATTGTGTCGTCACCACCACCACTAACATTGTGCCACCGCTACCACCACCATCACCGCCACCACTACCATTATGCGATTACAATCATTATGTCACCGTCGTCACCACTACTATTGTGCCGCTACCATCATTACAATATGGAGATATGCATAACAATTTTTTTGAATATTCAATGTTTCGGTATCTTTATATTCTGAAAGAATGTATCTAAAATCACTCTCAATCCTCCATTTGATCCATCTTAATTTTCTAGATTTTAAGTTTTAAAATTAATTTAAATCTTACGTGGTGTCTTATTATTGGTTTGTTTAACCTCTATTAGATCTAGTCTCAAGTGTCTGTTTTGAAATTTTCATTTTTGAAACAACATTTTGAAGTAACATCTCCCCAATCTGAAGTATCAAATTCTTATCACTTCTCTTTCCCTAGTTCCCATTTCCCATTTAAATCCGGATGGCACCTTATCCTTGCACCAAGGGAGCATTTTTTTTTTTTTTGGGATGATGGAAATGAATGGATAAAGATGGCGTTGAGCCGTTGAAGTCTTCTATTGCATCTCTAATATTGACTCAATTTTTTAGAGGACGCTACGAGCCTACGAGTGGATGGCTTCGGGTTTGTATCATTAAGTAAAGTTTTTCCCTTCTTTTTTCAACTTGAAAACTTATTTGGGTTGTCCTGCAATTTAGTATTTATTTGGCAGACAATGGGTGATCTAAACTTGGTTTTTGATGTGTAATTGGCGTGTAATTACTAATTACCTCATGTTTAATGTTTTGCGTAATTCTTTCTTCAATTTTTTTTTCCTCAACAATGTTTAGTTTAGGTTTATTCTGTGATTGATATTTGTCACCAAGGAAGGATGCAAGAAGAATTTTGGTTTTGATTTTCTTATCTATAATTGGGGCTCATGCTGTAGTTTGATCCTCAATATATCAATTTAATTCTTAAAGTATTGCATTCGTGTTTAAATGGTATCTGTACAGACGATCCGTTAAGTTTTTGATAAAAATGACTTATTTTATTATTTTAAACGCTATCATGTGATTATTTCTATTGAAAATTAAACGAAACTATGCAAGGACAATTTAAACACAAATTACATATTTTAGAGATCAAATTAATACATTGAATATCAAACTGACAAAACGAGCATATTTCGGAAACCAAAAATACTATTAACCATTTTTTTTAACATAAAATTCGGGAACTAAACCCTTCAACGTGAAGGCTGGACTGCATTCTCGGCCTGAACTTGGCTCGGCAACTTAGATCCTTCAACGTGGATTTCATCAAACCCAGGGGGGACGGGTTTCGCAGGGGGCAAACTGGCTTTCCAAAGAAGAAGACACTTCTACCCCTTAAACCCATTTCCACTTTGAGTATCTGGAATACGAGAAGGTGTTGAAGCTCTTCTTCATACCCGTCTGGAAATGGCCGGGCAAAGAGCCTCTGATGCACTGCAACAACGGCGATCTCTTCCTTCCGCTGTCGTTTTCTTTGTCGACGTTGAGTCATCGAGAGAGAGAGAGAGATGTAAGAAGACATAAAGAAGAGAGAGAGAAACAGAGGTATGAGTGGATTCGGTGAGTTGCGTGCAATAGGGGTTGAATTTTTTACGTGAAAAGAATGGACTTGACTACGATGCTCAAGAAAATTTTTTGGTATCATACGTTTAATTTTTATTTTTTAATGAATGTTTTTTATAATTTTTGTGCGTTATTTTATAATAAAAATTATTATTACGTAGGTAATTTATCATATTTATAGATATTTATAACATATTTGTAGATTTTTTTTTTTGTTATAGTAAGAGTCAGTTTACTTTATGAATTGTATGGTGATGATTTTGGTTATATATGTAATGATTTTTGCTTGAACCCATGTAACTTTAAATTCTGATTTTATGATTGGCTAATTTTTTTTGTTATGTTGATAATGTAATAGACCTATGTGATGATTCATACTTTTTTGTGCATTGCACTGGTTGGAACTAATTTTATAAGATAACCTACCAACACTCGATGTTATTTTTTAAATATTTTAAGTGTTTTTCTGATTGAATGTTGATTTGTTGAGACGAGTTTACTTGATTTAATCTATTAGTTTTGTGTTTAGTTTGATTGTATTTCAAATATGAGGGCAAATATAATATATTTAGTATTCATACTTGGTCGTGCATTTGCACGGGATCATACTAGTTGATAAAGTAAGGATGATTAGCTAGGTTAGCCTGTAAAGATGAAATGTTTGAGTAATTTTAAGCAACATTTTTCAAAGATTGCCAGATTCTTGGGTGGACCAAGAAATTTTTGGCGACCAACCACTTTGAAAGAAGATGGAGAAGATATTTTCTCTCTCTAGTTTCAGACATTCTAAAATTCTTTGTCCAACATGCTCTTATTTCGAGTCAAGAGTTAGATTAATATACAGTTCCAATTCCACTGATTGAGGCGGTCGAAAAGCCTGGGAGATTGAAGACCAAGAAGTGAATTATTTATACCAAACATCCTTCTTACGATTAGATTCAATCTTATGGTCCTTCCAGAAAGAAAAAAGAATTTCACATATTTCTGTTTCCTTGGGTGTATAGACTTTTTGGGGGTAAATTACAAATTTCCCCCCTTAAATTTGGGTCTTTTGCAATCAACTCCCTTAGGTTTCTGTCAATAAATTACCCCTCAAAATTTCAAGAGGTGTGAATTGACTGAAAAATTCTAAGGAAATATAAAATATCATTACACCCTCCTAGTCTACATTGTTTGCCCGTATGTTTTCCTGCAATACTCATTACATTCTCAAAAATTAAATCTTTAAAAAAATTATATAAAAACATAAAAGATATATACAATACATCATCCAAAATCAACACACATCACCCATCATCGTCAACCAACTCCAACTTGAACAGCCAAAGCAAAAGAGTTGGTTTCATCAACTTTTTCAGTGAACTCCCTCATCCAAAATAATGCATAGCAGCCACCACCTAAGCATTATCACCTACATTTGCACCTCCACAGCAAATCTGATAAACCAAACAAATGAACAAACAACCCAGCTCAGAACACCTAAAAACCTTCACATCCCTTTACAACCCACAACCAACTACCACCAAGAACCAACCCAACACCAAGAAAAAGAACACACGTGCAACCCAAAACCACATCCACCTTCACCTCCAACGACAATTCACAAAACCAAAACTATCCTATCCACACACAACCAAGCATAGGCCAGAGCAGAATTCGAAGCAAATATTTGTGGCAGTAACCAAGCCATTTGTGGCGTAATTCCTTTAAGGGTTAATAGTATTTTTAGTACCAGAATTTGTGTATGTGTATGTGGGTGTGGGTGTGTGTGTGTGTGAGAGAGAGAGAGAGAGAGATGGGGTTACAGCGGTTGTGTTGTTGGAGGTTAGAGGGAGGGTACAGGGAGATGGGGAATGAGGTTGCACCACGGAGAAAATAGGAGAAGAAAAGGGGGGTCCCCGACAGTTGTTGTGGGTCAAGTGGGGGAGTACAGAACTTTTTTAAAATGGGGAAAGAAAATTTGACAAGGGATACTTTTGTCTTTTAAACAAATTGGAGACCACGTGAGTACCACATGACTATTTTGTCACTTTTAACGGCCGAAAATTAACGATGGGAGTTAATTGAAAGTTTAACAAATTTAAAGGGGGTCATTTGTCAAAATTGAAACCTGAGAGACTTAATTAAAAAACACCCAAAATTGAAGTGGCAATTAGTAATTTACTCTGAGTACGGTAAATTAATGAATGACTTTTAGGGTCGTGGAAGACTTCTTATTTTGCATTAAAGTGTTGGATAATAAATTTATCGTGGAAGGCACCATATTAGGTATGCGAGAGTTAATGATGAAAGCGATTTGAACGAACGCAATTTGACTCGTGGAAGACAGGAGTACGGTAAATTAATATACTCTGAGTACGGTAAATTAATTAATGACTTTTAGGGTCGTGGAAGACTTACTGTTTTGCATTAAAGTGTTGGATAATGACTTTACCGTGGAAGGCACGATATTAGGTATGCGAGAGTTAATGATGAAAGCGACTTGAACGAACGCAATTTGACTCGTGGAGGCTGTTAATCAAATAGGGCTATTCGGGCTTGGCTTTGGTATGACTCGGGTTTGACTCGTTCAGATTCGATTCGTTTTTTAAACATATCTGAACTTGAATAAATTTTTAAGCTCGTTTAAAAAATAAGTCCTACAAGCTTGACTTAAACTCGACAAGCTCGGCTTGTTTATGTGTAAATACTCGGACTCGACTCAAGTTCGACTCAGATTCAGCTCGTTCAGGCTCAGCTCGTTTCTTAAACGAGCCGAATTTGAACAATTTTTAAAAATCGATTAAGAAACAAGTTTTTCAAGATCAGGTTGAACTCGTTCGACGAACAACCCTACGTGGAAGACACGAGTCATATTCTTAAAAAATTAAATTATATTTTAACCCTTGAGTTATTACTTTTATTTTATTTTATACCCTCAATTATACTCGTACAAACCTGAAGGATTTGTGTGTAATATTTTAAACGTCAAAGAGTCTAAATAATTAAGTGATAAATCTTAAGAAATATGAGTATAATTCACCATAAAATGTATTAGTTTCTCAAATTAAACCTACAAATTAAGTCTAATAAAATTGTATAAAAATATAATTTGAGGTTCCAAAATTTTTGTCCCATTTGGGGCCCTAGGCAATGAAATTAATGGAAAAACACAGTCAAAAGTTATTTTCTTAGAAAAGTATTTCCCAAAGACTTGATGAACACACGTCAATATTAACAAAATGTCTAACACGTGATACTAATTTCAAACAACTTGGAAAAACAGAGTCAAAAGTTATTTAATTTCATAGAAAAGTATTTCCCAATATTAATTCTGCACTTGCTAGTTATATTTTATCCAACAAACCTCAAACTTCCCAACCCAAGTTCACCTTTGAGCCATGGCTGCAACTGTAAGTAGCTCTTGGAATCTCTCTTTTTTCTTCTTTCTCACAATCCCTTTTGCTTCTGCCCTGCACTTCAACCTCCCCTCTATCGGAACTGGGGATGGTAAGTCCATAAAGCTCATCGGAGATGCTTATTGTGCGGGCTTGATCCTGCACGATATATATATATAATATTGGGAACAGATCTCTCCCCTGGTGAACTTTGGGTGAGCCGGTTGAGTGGCCAAACACACTGCTCGAAACAGCCTACCAGGAACGGTAAAGGAAGATCCTGGGAAAGGAGGAACGATCCTGTACGTGCAAAGGTATTTCCTGGGACAAAAGAGAACAAGTTAGAAGGGCGCCGGAGTGTTTTTCGGCGTATCCCCTCCGACGATCTAGTCAGTCTTTGAATGAGAGAGAGAGAAAAAGGAGAAAACACTGAGAAGGATATTTCGTAGTGGTGAGTTTGTGATTGCATACCCGCTTTGCCTTTTGGGTGGGGTATTTATACCTTAGAAGCTCATGATTGCTGTCAGTGTGGTCAGTAGGTGATTATCAGGCACAGGTAGCGTGTGTAATCATTTGATGAGGAATGTCATCTCTAATTGACTGTTCGGGGTCCCGAGCAATTAATGCTGAGTTGTCGGGACGCCGACGGTACAATATGCTCCTTTCGGGAAGGATGCAATAAATGCTCTGTAATAGGGGCATTTATTACCTCTCATATCCGAACCTTACCGCATTGAATGCGGTCTCGTCAACAGAAGGGTGCAATTAATTGTTTGCTTTCCCAAGTCGCGTGCCAGCAGCGGCATGCGGTTTGTCTGCTTCGGATGTGACATTATTTGCCACGCGTCCATCCCTTATTGGCTGTTATGTCGGTATTCCAGAACGTTCTGACATTACTTGTGTAAGAAGAGGTCATGATGAATAGTCCAGACTGGCATAGGCTGATGTCCAGTACGTCAGTAGCTTTATCCGGGAATAGAGGAAGCGTTCAGGATGGAGTGACCCTCGGCACCGAGGACAGGATCTCCTCGGGGACCGAGGGTGGTATGTTCCCCCGAGGTACACGGTGACCAAGGGCACGTGTTTGTTGTATAATACACCGAAATGTGTGATCCTATATGAGAGGTACCTCGGGGGTAAAGGACGTTCTTTGCCGATGGTGCTTACATCCGGGCAACACTGTTCCCAAAAACCCCGAGGACACGTGTCTTCATCATAGGCTTTTCAGAAGAGTCCCATCAACTGCCCCCCAGCCTTCGATCTTCTGACACCGAGGACACGCGTTGTCAGGAGACGAAGGGTTTTTCCAACTGTCATCCGTCCTTCATTATGGCCTCGAGCAGCTTTCCCCGTCTTGGGATGTCGTGCGCATTAAATGCGCTGTTTTTGGTTCTCCCGCCCAATGATGACAGTTTCCCCCCTATATAAAGGGGGTTCTTCTCCGGTTTCTATCGTTTTGCCATTCCGATCTCTAACCCAGAATACGCCTTTTCCGATCTGCTCGCCGGAGTTTTTTGTTTCCTCAGCCATCGTCGACAGCATCTTCTTTGAA